AGATTTTAGAACTTTTTCTTTCATGCCGTTCTCTAACACCATATTTTGATGTACAAGTAATTTCAATACTTACTCAAAACATTTGGTTTTAATTGCCGAAACCCCCAGACCAAGAATTATTACAAAGGCACAGAAAAAAATGATTGAAAATCCCATTTATTTTAGGTTTCTTTGATGTGCATGCCCCCTTGATAGATTAGAAGAATCCACATTATTTCCATTTGCAGTCAACCAAATTCCCGAAAACATAAATTCATTCACAGAATTCCAACGTTCTCGTAGGTAACATGGCCATTAAATCGCCGCCTGTCTTAGCTTTTCCGTTTCCCTAAGTGCAAAAAGATTTCTCGACGTCAAAGTCACACCTAGATTGCCTAGCTCACTGACGAATAGTTCGCGTACAGGTCCAGGACAAAGCAACCAATAAATAAATCAACATCCGTAGAAAGCGCAGTTATTCGGTAACTGTGCTTGTACACGCGTTCCCAGAGTTCGCCATCTTATTATCCAACGTCTAATATTAAAGTCTCATCATCAGCTGGCGTCTGTCAAGGAGGAGCGATGTGACGTGTCGAGTATTTTAACTCGTTAAACTCGCGTCAAGCACGTATTCGAGTGAACTCGAGTCATTTTGATTGTAACTCGAATTATTGGTACAAACGAATGCGAGTTACGCGGGTAAAAAGGAGACCAAGATCCCAACAGCGTCTTATTTGTTTATTCGGGTAGTCGTTATTTCAATCGTTTTACTCGCTAACTCGCCATTGACTCGACTGCCGAATGTATGCGAAATCGAGTTGGCAATGTTCAAGTAATTCGAGTCGATAAAGTACTAGATTTGTTATATCACTTTGACTCAAGTCGCCGTTAATGGAATTGTTTTACTCGCCATTGACTCGACTCATCGCGCCGAATGTATGCGGAATCGAGTCGTGGACTCAAATTGACAATGTTCGAATAATTCGAGTCAATAATGTACTAGATTCAGTATATAATTTTCACTCGAGTCGCCGTTGATGGAGTTATTTTACTCGCCAACTCGCAATTGACTCGACTCATCACGCCAAATATATGCGGCATCGAGTTGGTAATATTCGAGTAATTCGAGTCGATAAAGTACTAGTTTCGTTATATCGCTTAGACTCGAGTCACCATTAATGGAGTTCTTTTACTCGCCAACTCGCCATTGACTAGACTCATTGCGCCGAATGTATGCGGAATCGAGTTGGCAATGTCGAGTAACTCGAGTCGATGAAGTACTCGACTGGTTATATCGCTTAGACTCAAGTTGTCGCTAATCGAGTTTTACTCGCCAATTCGCCATACTCTACTCATCGCGCCGAATGTATACGGCACCGAGTTATCGACTCGAGTCCAAACTCGAGTTGGCAATGCTTTCGAATTCAAATAACTCGAGTTGGTAAAGTATTCGACTCGTCGCATCGCTAGTCAAAAGCATTCCTCCACAATGCAGCCACGTAGGTGCGGATCTCGCATTGTTGGATGCTCCTCGGCGTCTCCCGGAGGTACCGTGCGATCACGGCGATGAATGTCTCATTAAAATTGTAAATGAACTCCTACGGCCCTGGGACAAGTATACGAATGATCGTCCCTTGTCCGGGCGTTAAAGTCACCGCCCGTCCCGGCCGCAAGAGTCACGCGAGCGTGCGTACAGCATGCGGCATGCGGCATGCAGTATACAGTGTTCTGAGCCACACTGTATGGGCATTCCTTCACAGCGAATACATTTCGGGATTCCCGGGTACACGTTCGCGAGTGTACAGAGTGAATCACGCACCTATTTCTGCGGGAGATACCCTTTAAGGTGAAGTGAGACACGTCGAGGAACTTGTTCAACGTTGATAAAGAAGATTTTTTTAAATGCCTACGTTGCCGACGTTCGTTTTTATATTGACAGCTGTGTCGAATTATATTGGGTATTGTACCAAATGGCATACTCCACCTGTCGTTTTCGTACGGTAATTATAAAGAAATCGAAGTAAAACTCCAGAAATCCTCTGGATTCATGCTTTCTGGGGCCCTAATTGACTGCAAAGGGACCCCCTGCGCTATCTGTGATTTCCAGGTCAATTGAATATTCAGTCCGAGACCTCGTATTACCATCGTTTTGGCATAGAAGCACATACAACACTTTTTTGCCCTTATCCCGTTCAAATGCGAGTTTATCGATTACCAGTGTGTCCTAAATTGTCGTAAAATTGCCCTGATCCTTTCAATTCTCATATCAGAGCCTTCGATAATTGTATATTGATCGAAATATGAGATCTCGACGTCATTTTGGTTCCGGTCTAGGCTGAGTTAAAAAATGTTTTTAAAAAATCCAAATTTTTAATGTGTCAGGACAATTCTTAGATGATCAAGAGTAATGTGTCAAAGTTTCGGACAGTTTGGTAATACCCTTAAAAAAAGTGTTGTATTCGAATCGAGTGATTTGAAGGGGCTTAAGGTGAAGTGAAACCCCTCTCAAACCAATCGACACGAATAAGATCCTTTCTTGAAGGGCATTGGACCGAACTATCCAAAACTTTGACACTTGATTCACGAGCACCTAAGAATTATCCCGACACTTTCAAGAATTGAATTTTCTTTTTTCTTTTAACAAAAAAAAATACAAATCTTTTTTCACTTAGCCTAGGTCAGAACCAACACGCGTCAAGTTCCCATATTTCGATCGATATACGAGCATTGAAGGATCTGATATAAGATCGTAATTCCCGGAATACTGAAAGTTACATTTATTCCTCCATCATTTCATTAATGAATTAATGCTCGGTAATAAAAGCATCAATTAACATACGTTTTAAACCACCAAGCACTTGTGCACCGAAATTATTCTTCAAACTATCAATGTTCCAAAGAAAATGGCATCAAACGAAGCTTACTCCATAATAGTAGGGAGCACTTATCCTTCAGGTTTTGTCAAGGATCATAACCTCTGCTATAACGCAACTAATTTGCATACGTTAGAACGGTGGCATTTCCTTTTTCACGCTCATAGCGTACGATCGAGAGTTTCCTGTAAATAACGATTAAAAAGTTACTTTGGATGGTAGACTGAAACGAATCGTCCTGTACAAACACGTAAGGGCACTCATAGGCCGCGACGAACACGGATGGACACGGATGGACCCTGATGAACACGGATGAAGACTCGTGACGCATGCAGGCGTCACGTGTCGAGTATGCGCGCTCGAAAGATCGCAAGGACGGCCTTCTAGAGGGATGACTTATCACGGCCCGGGCCGGCTCCCGTCGCCACGAAATCGTAAAGACCGTGATCTACGGCTCGAGGTTAAACGTTCTACCCCATCCTGGGGTGACCCGTAATTTCGCAATTTTTCCGCAGCCAGTAATCTTGTACCCCGCGTCATCTCGGCTCTCTCGTAACTTACAATCTTCTCCCTGCACGACTTACTCGGCCTCGGCCCTTACGGCTTCTTCTGGCCGACAAATTACCCGGCTTTCCGACCGAAAAATCCACGTCTTGAGGATCTGCCTTGAAAGCTGCCGGTTTTCTTTCCCCCGAGGGAAAATCGCGAAGGGAGGCTCCTAAGGCGGCCATCTTGGTTTTCAGGACTCGGAGTTAACGAGCCGCTCTAAGCACTCCCATGTATGGGACGGCCTTGGCAGATAAGTCGCGTACTAAACGGGGTTAAAAAGCGACACTTTTACCGTAGAAATGATGTCTTAGTTCTTCAACTACTTTCTAGACTAGACCAGAGAAACCTAGACGATAAGACTAATGGATATTTCAAAATGCCGCCCAACGTGTATCGATAAATGGATGCTTCTTATAAGTAACTTTATAAGGTAACCCTGTAGCTATGGCGGAGTTAGACGTGGAACTATTACCGTCGAAAGCTTGATTGAGAAGTGCTAATATTATATAGGGATACAATATTTATCTGCTACTTTGAATGTATGATAAAAAAGGGAGCCACTGTAGTGACGCTTCGTAAAAACCGTCACTCACAGAGAAGCCATTATAGCGTCGTTTTGTTAAAAACAATGGTCAGGCGAAAATTACTATGGTAGCGCTTCGTAGCTAAAGAGTTAATAAAGCGGTTTAAGGTGACGTGAAAGTGGCGTCGAAGAGGTTTTGTTTACGAAACTTTTCTCCGAACTGGGCTTACCGAATCGTTTTAAACTTTACATCGTGAATATGGAGACTATAAGGAAGGTCCTGATACGCATGAAATTTCAATTTTTTTTTTCTAATTTGTTTATAGGTATTTTTTAAATTCTGTGTAAGAAATGAAATTTCACGAGTGTCAGGACTTTCTTTACAGACTCTATATTTGCATCGTAAAATTCGAAACGATTCGGTATACCCAGTTGTGCGAAAAGCTTCATGAACGATCGACCCCTCAGAAGCCACATTCACATCCCCTTAAAGTGGCTTTAACCACAATTACCCAGAACTTTAACATCTCCTTAAATTTCCAAAATAATGTTAAATAGATACTCAAAAACGTTCATAAACCCTGCAAGGAAGATACGAAGGTACCCCCTTCCGTAAGCATTTCAAAACTTCCCGCTCAATTCGAGTCGACAAATCGACCCTCGGAATTTCAACCGGCGCCTCTGCCGGTAAAGTAGATCCTGACCACAAATGTCAGGGCCAAGTGGCATCGGCGGTCCATCTTCGAAACGTTCGATATATTTTCCTTTCCCAATGCTCCCGAGCAGGTTAGATTCAGGAGATCGATCGACCGCCTCGTGCACGACATTCCGAGCGTCCAATAAACATTAAATACGCCCAGTGGAAGCATGGAGTTAAAAACCGAGAGCGTAGCATTTCCAGTCCTACTCGCACGTGTGCAACCACCTGTAGGAGCTGACGTCCAGGTTCGTTTCGAAGCTGGCGATGCGCGCGCAGCTCGGCGCGTCTCCCGGCGTAAAAACACGTAAGTACGCTTGCTCCACGTAGTTCCGCGAGTAATCCATTATTCAAAAGGACACATCCTATCGCCGCGTGACATCGTGGGACTTACCGGCGCGGTCCGTGAGGTTCCTGATCCGGCTAACCGAGCGTCGGAGGTGACGCGCTCGACCGACGTCCCAGGCAGGCCATTCCGTTGCGACGAGTCGCTGGTTTTCTCTCCTCCAGGTATATGAGCACCCTTAGAATTTCGTCCTACGGCCGGTCACGGATCTCGCGAGTCGCGCGATTACCGTAATCTCCCTCGGCCCGACGCGCGACGCTCCAGGTTAAAGCGATGGAGCTTCTATGCACTCCGTGTAGGGCCCGTTTCGACGCCCGTTTTAACGACGAGCCTTTCGTTAATGACCACCAGCGGCTGCTAAGTAGCTACTAAGAGCTATCGCCGCCGGTTACGGGTACTCGACGTCGCGCCGAGGGAGAGGACGTGACGCCGTCGCAGTCACTCGCGGCGCTGTCAGAAACCTGCCTTTCGGAGCTTATGCTGCCTTATGCTCGCTTATGCTTTGCCCTCTCCATCTCGACTCCCCTCTCTGACGCCGGCCTTCCACGGTAACTCGTCTCATTCCACCTCTGGTTTTCAGGGAAGACATTCACCTCGAGTTGGCAACTCCTTGCGACTCCCTGAGGAGACCCTCCTACCAGCACCTCTGGCCATCCACGGCGATCCACAGTGCTACGCCGGACGCCTGCACAGGAGGGTCCGTAGTCCACACGCTACAGGGGATTCGGGTAGTGAGGGTTGGCGAGTTTATCATTGTATATTTTGGTTGGTGTTTCTAAACTTATGAGATCAGCGTGCTTTGTTGATAGACATTTTTATAATAAAAGAATATATATATATCCATTCTAATTTAACATCTACTTTTGGAGATGTTTTTTTACTATTTTTTATGGATAGGAATCGGCGATCGTTAATAACTTCATCTCTGCTGCACTGCGTGTCATTCCCAACTGTTGTTCCATTATAGAAAAGCAGTTTAATATCAAATTACGAAAACAAATATTAGAATTATAGTTTATATATATCTATTGAAGGTTTTGCGTCAGTTTTTATTAGTGGTGTACTTTTGTTTTTAGGTAAAAGAAAGTAAGACTAAGGAATTCAGAAATGGAATCGAGAGAGGCAGGACGTGTTAATAAACTGCTTTGACAAAGGGATTCAGTTTCAATGAATTTGGAGGAAGGATTGAGTACTGGCGATTTTGGAATAAGTTGTAACCAGCGTGTTAATATCTTTAAGAATTGTATGTTACGGAACGATTGCTGAAGACGAAAGAAGAGAAGTGGAATTGAAAAATAAGAAAATGATTTCTCCCGATTGCGTCTTGGACATTTCAAATGTTTTTCATTCGACTGCAGTTTTTGTGGAAGGAAGTTGTTTGTCTAGATCGGAACCAACAGCGGTATTGAGAGACGTGTCTGCGAGAGTGCATGGTGGGGAGGTTCTTGCGGTGTTGGGTTCAAAAGGCTCGGGTAAGAGAGCTCTTCTTGATGTCATAGGTGAGTTGTTTGTCTGTATTCCTTTAACATGAACAAAATTGTTACATATATATCCTTATACACAAAGTAATACTAAAAAAACATTTATTGTGTTATAGCTGGAAGAGCCGACGGGGAAACAAGGGGACGTGTTTCTTTAAATAGCAGTCTACTAACACCAGAATTATTTAGACGTCATGGAGGATACGTAGCACACAGATGTCACTTGCTACCAAGTTTAACGGTACGACAAACTTTGACGTATGCTACTTGGTTGGCAAACTTAAGTAACCGAGAAGCCAGAGTACGGCAAACATTGGCAGATCTAGCGCTGTCACAAGTTGCAAATCGGTCTGTCAATGATCTTACAAGAGCAGAGTACCGAAGACTCATGTTAGGCGTACAACTGGCTAAAGACCCAATGATACTCCTGTTGGATGAGCCCACCTGGGATACGGATCCCTTGAACACATACCTAATCGTCTCCATGTTGTGGTCCTATGCTACTAGGCGAGGGTCCATTGTTGTTCTAACTATGGAAACTCCTCGATCCGATGTTTTACCTTTCGTGAGTCGAGTGACATTGCTTTGCCTAGGAGCAGTGGTTTATTCAGGACCAACTAGAAGTATGCTGGACTATTTTACCTACATTGGCTTCCCTTGTCCACAATTAGAGAATCCATTAATGTATTATCGTAAGTTAATGACGTTCCTTTAAATTTATAAGAAACTTTTCTTGAAAATGGTTCAACAATTCAATGTACATTTTTAGTATGCCTCTCTACTGTGGATCGACGTTCCAGAGATCGTTTTCTGGAATCGAATCAACAGATCTCTGTACTTGTTGAGAAATTCAAAATAGAAGGTGGACTGTACATGAAGGAAGCTCCGCAAGGTCCAGCAAGCATGAAAGATGCTCCTTTAGGCCTCGTTCACAAAGGCTTAGGTAGAGGAATTAAACCTGGTTGTTTTTCTACTCTCCTAGCTTTGTATCTGTGAGTGTTTATTTTATTATTATGGAAGTAAGAAAAATTCAGTTATTGTAAAGTTGACAAAGTAAACCATGCTTTTTTTTTTCCAGACGTGGCATGTCTGCGACGTTTTCTTTCAATAAATGCGGCTTCGGACACCTTACTGCACGATTATTGCTTCTACCGTTTCTTATCGCCATATTGAGTGTTTCATATTCACACTCGAGTCCAGTGCAATCAAGGATTTTCTTACAAACAGGTGGTTTAATTTTCAACGTTTTGACATTATTCTGTGTATCAGGGATAGCTACTACTGCAATACTATGTAAGTAATTATATGCTTCTCTATCGTATGAATTAAAATTACGTTACTTTTTTTGTACTCAGTATTCCGTTTTTTGTTTCTAACTGATTGAAATGACGCAAAATCGTTTGACGTCTAAAATGTAATTTATTCAATGCCCTTACATGCTTTGATTAAAGTAGATTATTATTTTGTAATTTACTATTCATTACTATTTTTTACGACATTATCTTACTATTCATTTATCTTGCATTTTAGTCCCAGGTTTTCGAGCAAGATATTATCAAGAGAAACGAGAGGGCTTATATGGAGGTGCAATGTTTTTAAGCGCATATACCTTATTAAGCCTCCCACTAAGTTTTATCTCTACCATGATGGCAGTAGGAATTTTAATACCGATCTTAGAATTGGATCTGTCATCCTGGGCCTATGCCTGCGGAATGCTTTGGTCTACTTACGTTGCTGCAGAACACATCACAGTAGCCGTAATGATGATCATCGAAAGATCCATGATCGCTGCCACGACTGTTCTCTACGTGACTTTACTCTCCATTGTCATAGCTTCAGGAGGAGTTCGGAGTCTCAGAAACTTGCCAAATTGGCTCGCAGCTGTTTCCACTGCGTTGCCTTCCAGATACGCCTCGTTGGCATTAAACCAATTAGCCATCGATGTTCCTACATTTGTGAATTTACCGTACAACGAAAGCATACCTTGTCCAGGAATACAAGACTTATGCAGATATCCTGATGGTAAAACCTACCTTATTGAACGTTTTACCCGAGAAGGCGAAAATATCTCAGAAGTATTGAACGTGGATCTTAATCTACTGATTTCACTTGCCTTTGCTTTGGGGCTAGTAATTCTCAACAGCGTTCTATACTTATTGCCATTGCCTGCGCGTGTGAAGGCAAAGTTCAGAGAGTGATCATAGAGTTTATCTTATATATAAGAGCCTAAATGTAAATACAAATATTATAAACACATCCGTCCAGAGGTTAGTCAAAATGTTAAAATCGCGAGTTTGTAAAAGTAATTTACATTTATTTAAAAAGTTAGATCTTACGTGGTACAATTGTGTCCGATACCTGCAATAACGTAATAGATTTAGATATTTTATAGGATTGTGCTCTTTTTGATACCAGCATTTGGCAGCATGCCAAATTTGTTTGCCTCGAAATCGAATTCCTGATACCCTTTTTTGGAAACAACATGTAAATTTTAGATGTAACCATACATTGTAATACATCGAACGAAGTGTCAGTATACCTGAAGCAGGTAATTTAGCTTTCTTCATCCACAGCCACCTGACCCATTTCCTTAAGGTTATCAGCTACAGAGAATTCGCAGCCTGTAGAACTGATAATTTCACTTATGTCGACATTAGCAGCTATTTCGATAAGTTTGATGCCTTGACCTTTAATGATCTCAAAAACTGCCAAATCTGTGATGATTAAATCGACGCATTGTTGACCTGTAGTTAAATATTTTCATCATGACTTGTACATCGTAGACATTTGTTTTAATTAAATTCTCTGTAACACTAATAAGATGTAAGCTATCTATCGATACTTACCAGTTATAGGTAATGTACAATTCTGAAGAATTTTTGGACTTCCATCACGTGCCTTATGTTCCATGGTAACCACAACTTTGGTTTTAGCAGCACCAACCAAATCCATTGCACCACCCATACCTTTAACCATACTTCCTGGGATCATCCAATTTGCCAAATCCCCTTTTTGTGACACTTGCATGCCACCAAGAATTGTCAAATTGATATGGCCACTAAAATGTTTAAAGATTAATGAAAATGGTAGATGTTATTAAATTCTGTAAATCCATGTACTCACCCTCTGATCATGGCAAAGCTCTCACTGCTGTCAAAATAAGAAGCACCTGGTAAAACAGTAACGGTCTCTTTCCCAGCATTTATTAAATCTGGATCAACATCGTCTTCATCTGGGAACGGTCCTAAACCCAAAATTCCGTTTTCTGACTGCAGGGTTACTTTGATACCTTTTGGTATATAGTTACTGGCCAACATGGGAATGCCAATTCCCAGATTTGCTGTAAACACATAAACGATCTTTATATCCTTAATTGAATTACCATTGAATCAACTAAACATACCATACATTCCATCCTTAAATTCAAGAGCTGCTCTTCTGATAATCCTTTCTCTTGCCTTGCTGGCAGGTGTCTTCTTCTTTGGCTTTACAGTTTGTTTGGTTGTTCTTCTCTGAAAAAGTAAAATTCATAGCATTTTAGAAATAACAAAATGTAATATCATTTATATTTCAATTAGTAACATCCTAGTCTGATTATATACACGAACCTCGATACGTTTTTCATAACTAGGTCCTTGGATTATTCTATCTACATAAATCCCAGGTAAATGTACGTGGTCAGGATCTAACTGTCCAATTTCAACGATTTCTTCAACTTCTGCTATAGCTACTTTTGCAGCCTTACACATTACTGGATTAAAATTCCTTGATGATTTTCTAAAAATTAAATTGCCTGCTTTATCAGCCTTCCATGCTTTAACTAGAGCAAAATGTCCAGTGATGGCTGTTTCCAGTATGTACTGACGTCCTTCAAAATCGTTTACTTCTCTCGACTCTCCAGATATAGCAGGGTTACCAGCTTCATCATACTTTATCACCACGTTTCCTTCTTGTATGATTGTTCCGCATCCAGAGGCTGTATAAAATGCAGGTATTCCAGCTCCGCCTGCCCTTAATCGTTCTGCCAATGTCCCCTATCCATGACCAAAAAGATCTTGTATTAGAAATGTTTCCTTAACAATCCCTTGTTAATAAGATGGTATAAAATATTCTATTTGAGTTAATGATTTATGCAATCGTATTTTTACAGGAACGTACCTGTGGCGTCAGTTCAACCTCCAATTGACCACTTAAATATTGTTTCTCAAATTCTGCATTTTCTCCAACATATGACGAAATCATTCTCTTTACTCGGTGTGCCTTCAACAACCTCCCTAGTCCAAAATCATCGACTCCAGCATTATTTGAAACAACTGTTAAATCTTTCGTTCCTTTTTTAAGCAAAGCTTCTATTAGATTCTCAGGAATACCACAAAGACCGAATCCACCGACCAACAGTCTTGCACCATCTGGAATGTCTGATACAACTTCCTCCAGCGATTTAAACACTTTCCCATCTCCAAGTGGTGGCTTCAGCGTCTTAACTTCATCCACGACCTCTGGTACATCTGCTTTAATTGAAAAACTAACTGTGCAAACCTATCAACATATCACCATAAATCGTCATTTCTTCTGGCTGTTGAACTTAAAATAATGATTAAAAACAATACAAAAAAATTGTAGGATTAAGCGCATTATTGCAGGACAAATATCAAGCATTGCTGACAATCATTACGATAATATTTCTGCAGGCATGACATGTGTAATTTCACCGGATACATTATTGGAAGGAACAATTATACTTACTTTTGTAAGTTTTAAATATGTCCGAGTATCACGGCATCTCGTTCCAATTCGTAAAATAATCCCGCCCACTCTGTTCATCATAAATGCCATTGTTCTTCGCAAAAAAAAATATTATTATTAATTAGGTACTTTGCTATTCCTCGAGGCCGACGATTGTGAGGTTATGACGACATTTGGAACACGCGTGTCGCCCCTCTGAAGTAAAATTCTGTACTGAGCAGTACTGAGGAAAATTCGAAGTTGGATTCTCGAATTATTATCTGGTGGCACCCGATATCGCCTTTTTAGGCTATGAATAGCTTGAGCAAACCATCTGTTTTGTAAACGAACGAATCTGAGATGCCTTCTGCGATCTGGTAGACCTTGAAGATGTTATTTCCCTAAAATGTTTAAATTCCTCCAAACTGTTGTAACGTCATCTCGGGGCCCCCATTGGCGTCGCCTCTTGCCGACTTTTTAAGCTTGCTAAAAAAAGAAAAAAAAAACTATGACAGATATCACTATTTATACTATTATACTATCATACGGTATGATTGCCTTAAGGGGGTATTATCGTCTATAAGCTTGTTTTTTAAGTAATTCTGAGGAATTAATTTTGCGAAAACTATCAAACCTACAGTGCCCGGGTTTTTGACGCATATTAAGACACGTTTCAACTACCAACACAAATTTGTATGAATTTCTTTATTGAAATCTATGCAAGTTATGCGCTGCTATGCAGGTCGTTGCGAGATACGCTCGTCCAATCAGACGGACGGGTTGCGGCGATTGTAGTCGTCCGAAACGGAAGAACAAAATTTTTTTTTAATCTATATGAATGTAGTTACCGTCTGAACTAGAACTAAGTACGAAATGTTTTATACAGTACACTGTACCATTCATACGACACGTGCAATCTTCATTTTTTTTTAGTCAAAACTTAATAAATACTAAAATGTTGTAATTAGAAGTCAAATCTTTGGTAGAAAACTTGGCTTTTTATTTCTTAAATATTTTTTACACGTCCCCTTTGATCCTACTGGAATTATCGTAATCATGTTGTATGTATATATATTACTATAGTATAATCTTGTACATACATAACCGCTACTAGTACATTTTACATTAAATACTGGTTACGCCGTGCTGACCGTATGACGTTTAAAAATAATGTATATCTTAAAATTCTGGTATGACCGAATGACCTATTCATTGCAATCCATTCGGTGACATTTGTACAACTTGCAGTTCACTTAAGCCGAATGACGTATCGTGCATACGATCTATGTGTAATTACACGAAGCATTTTCAAGGTTAATGAGTGTCAGCTTATTGCATTCTTTCTCTATTGCCCTAGAATAATTATAATGACATAATGCAAAGTTTGTTCTATATTGAACGACGCAGCTTTAATTATGTATTTTTTTAAATCTATATTTAGGCACTTCTGAATGTCAATTGTTTCGTTTTATTCTATTGAAGCTCGAAATAGACATTTTACCAGGTGGTTTCGTTTGATCGGGATTGGTCAAGAAATAACATTTTGTGTCCGTACTTAAAAATTAATCTCAACGGAGAATTCGGCAAAATGTCGATTTCAAAGTCCTTCAACACGAGACCTATACAATCGATTATTACAGATCGTTAATAGATTTCATTGAAGGCGACCAGCTCTGGCGTCCGTGACAGCACCCCAAAGTTCGATGACAAAATCGTCAGTGAATCCAAACGCCTCCAAATCCGAATTATCGATTGCTTCTGCGAAATCCATACTGTTGCTCTTTCCTTCCGCTAACTCCCAAATTTGAGTGGCTTTGAACAGATCAATGAACACATTAACGCATCCGTAATTGTGTTGAAATCGTTTAAATAAAATTTCTAAAATACTTCCAAATTGTTAAGTGCCAAAGCATTTGAATGATTTTAAAATTAAGTAAAAATACACGCTGTAATTCGTGAGTATTTGAAAGACTTCTAGGAACTTTGCGAAATTCCTTCGGTGTAATTGTTGGAGCGTTAAGATATGTGTAACAAGTATTAGCAATTAATTGTTTCTATAACAAGCTTTGAATGAGGTCCGATTAACGAAACGTTGCAATACAATTCGCTATCTCCGATTGGTCAGCTGTGTGCGGTTAATAGAAACAGATTGTTGCAAAATAATGCTGTCATCCGTCATTGTGTTGAAATCATTTAAATAACATTTCTAAAGTTCTTCCAAATTGTAAAGTGCTGAAACATTTGAATGACTTTAAAACTAAGTAAAAATACACGCTGTAATTCGTGAGTGTTTGAAAGACTTCTAGGAAATTTGCGATTCCTTCGGTGCAATTGTTGGAACGTTAAAAAATGTGTAACAAGTATTAGCAATTATGAGGTCCGATTAACGAAACGTTGCAATACAATTCGCTGTCTTCGATTGGTCAGCTGTGTGCAAGTTAATAGAAACAAATTGTTGCAAAATAATGCTGTCATAACAAAGCAGCAGTTGCAGGGGTTCTTCATTTCTAAGAATGATTCACTATTGTCTGAAAGTGGGATTGAAACAGTTGCACAATAATCGATCGCAAACGAACGTAAATTATGCACTAAGAAATTTCTCAAAGGAAATAGTTTTAGTTACACGGTAAATGTGCACTTCGTTGAAATAATAAACGGAAATGTAAGAAAACGTCAAATACAGATTATAAGCATCTACCTAATTCATTGTCATTTATGCCCATGAAGTTCTCCAGAATGGCGTTAATCTTGTCTATTCCCACACTAGCTGCATCATCGATCTGAAAATTCATGGATCATTAAATAAAGGGCCTTTAGAAAATATTTCTGTGGTACTCGGTAAGGAGGGCATAATTACCACTTTTTCAATTTGAGCGCTACCGTCAGCCTTAAACCTCAGTGTCTCTTTTCCAGACCCGTAAGCCTGCTTCTTCCCTTTCCTAATGTCACTTCTAGGTCCGATACTGGCAAATCCATTTTTCAAGGGCTCGACTAGTCTCAGAGTAAATTTACAGCCCTTGGGAATCTGCTTTAGCATCCTCGCTACTTCGAAGTGCCTCCTTCCGACCAGATACTCGGAATTAATTTTCTCGATGTGGTCTCCTACTTCGATTACTTTAACCTTATCGATCACCGAGCCTTCCTTGATTCGTTTGATGAACGAATAACCAGCACCATTGTCGGTGATTGTAAGTCCAAGTGCGTCATCCGTTTTGACCAGTTCCACCTCTTTCGGTCTTCCTGTAAATGGGCGAATAATTAATAGACTGACCTTCTCAACTAGGTGTCCGAAATCCCTCTAAATTATTTGGAGCACTCTTTTCTACAGATTTTCTTAATCTTTATTAATAAATGAAAAATTTAATAGGACATTTTTCTTCATTTTCGGACAAAATGAATTATCCTTCGGTGATTGTTTTTAAAGAGGATAAAGTATTTGTACAAATTCGGAAGAATTAAAATTTATTAGGAACATTAAACCTTTTTTTTTTTATCACATTATTGCACATTTTTTCGGTCACTAATGCTGCGAATTTGCGGTCGACATTGATCGTTGTTGTACTATTAATATATCTCATTTCATTAAGTAGAATAACCATGCTATTGTAAGTCAGTCATAATACATGCCTCATTAATTCATCTACCGAGTACAGTGCAATGACCACTCTTACGAATTTGCTCATTAAGGTGAAGTGAAACATGTCGAGGAACTAGATCGACTGCGATAAAGAAGATTTTTCTAAAAATACCTACATTTGTTTTTATATTGACGGCTGGGTCGAATTATATTGGTATTGCACTAAATGGCATACCCCATCTGACATTTTCGTACAATAATTATAAAGAAATCGAAGTAAAACTCCAGAAATCCTCTGGATTCACGCTTTCTGAGGCCCTAATTGGCTGCAGAGGGACCCCCTGCGCCATCTGTGATTTCCGGGTCAATTAAATTTTCACTCCTAGACCTCGTTTTTCCATCGTTTTAGCATAGAAGCACATACAACACTTTTTTTGCCTTTATCCCGTTCAAATGCGAGTTTATCGATTACCATAGTGTTCTAAATTGTCATAAAATTGTTCTGACCCTTTCGATTCTCATATCAGAGCCCTCGATAATTGTATATTGATCGAAATATGAGAGCTCGACGGCATTTTGGTTCTGGTCTGGGCTGAGTTAAAAAACTTGTTAAAAAATCCAAATTTTGAATGTGTCAGGACAATTCTTAGATGACCACGAGTCATGTGTCAAAGTTTCGGACAGGTTGGTCCAATACCCCTTAAAAAAAGTGTTGTATTCGAATCGACTGATATGAAGGGAATTTCACTTCACCTTAATTACTTCTTCCCTTTCTTTCTTTTTCTTTTACAAAACTCAAGTTTTCTTCAAACTTTCAAGAGATTGAACGGGGATGGATCTGAAGACACGTGTCCATGTAATCCGTGTATTGCATATAATTTCATCGTTACTAACATATTCTCACCTTTCACGTGCGCGAAGATTAAATCGTCCAAGCCTATTTGACCACCCAGTAACTCGGCCATGTCGACTTTGTGCGTGTTCAGCGTGCAGAAGAGGATCTAAAACATGTGATTTCATTGTTACTCATGCGCCCCCAACATGTAAATAGTTTCCGTAAATAATTTCAAGAATTATTGTCACATCTTTGCGATAACAAGCGATGAATTTTACATATTATAAAGTCTACCAAAATGTCTGTAATAAACAGCATACATCTTTGCATTCGTAAAATTCGCGTTTCAAGTAGAATTTAAAGCAGTAATTTCTTTATTAAACGGGATATTAGCGTTAACTTCATGAATAATACTTTCTTTTGTACAAAACTTCCAATTTCAAGCTTAACACTTGTTCCGTAATGGATCTTAAATCTATCTCTTTTCTTATCAACGAAAATACGGGCAGTTTCAATTGTTTTTGTTTAGTTTGACATTTCTTAACTTGGTGGCAAGCATAATTCAAATTTAAAAAGAAAATGAATACAAGAATGTAATTTGGATTAGTCGTTTTAATATTTGTATGATGTTTAAATAATAACGTCTTATACAAATAGCCCAGAAAAAATAACCTAGTGATGTTTAACGTAGCGAAGAATGAGTTGTCATTAATAATCAGTCCTTCCTCTCTGTGCCGATCAGAAAAAGGTTAAAGAAATCTCCAAAAATTAAAAATATTCAGTTGTATATATATAATTTCTAGCAATAAAACACACGCAATTGCTCTCGTATTGAAAAATCATAATGTGAGAATTAGAGTTGTTGGAGATTTTTTTTCAATAAATATTACTGAAGTCAGAGAACAACGATTTATTTCCTATGATAATGATACTTTTGACAGCTCGGTATTAACTGACAAGCAGTATACAGAAATATAGAAGGAAAAATATAAGGAGTAAAAGAGGGACTTTGTGGAAACTATTTCAACGATATTCATTTCACAGACGAAGGCTTTTACGAGTCTTGATATCTCGGAAGGGAAAGACTACGAAAGGGCTACGTACAAATGCAAATAAGAAATTCATAGCTCGCGCTATTTACATGAAAGTATTTCCCACGGGTAAAAGGAATCGCTGAAACGCGTTCCTGCATTTTTTAGCATCATTTCCAGGGCCTCGACGTCGCGGTTGGAAAAGCAGAACTGGAAGGAACGAGCTTCCTTTTCCGTGGATGTCTCAAAGGTTCCTGACCTTTCCCAAGACAAGAATGGCCTTGAAAGTCCCGGATCGGTGCCAAGGAATCCCGAAGCAAACCCATCCGGGACTTTCTCGACGATCTCGATCAAGAAGTCGTATCTAAGTAATGTCACAATTGAATTTTCATTAGGTAATCATTTTCTAGTTCAGTAAAAAACACATTGTGGGAAGGTTTTCTGCCAATTTTGTTAATTTCAAGTGCTGAAGTAACTATGGCCTGTAAGTGAGGGGAGACGTTATCCAGCCTTAGATCGACAGCTGACTCCAATTGCACCCTCGAAATCACTATAACACCGAGCTTAAGGTGAAGTGAAATCCCTTTCAAATCAGTCGATTCGAATACAACTCTTTTTTTTAAGGGTATTAGACCAAACTGTCCGAAACTTTGACACATCACTCCTGATCATCTAAGAATTGTCCTGACACATTCAAAATTTGGATTTTTTAAAAACATTTTTTAACTCAGCCTAGACCGGAACCAAAATGACGTCGAGCTCTCATATTTCGATCAATATACAATTATCGAAGGCTCTGATATGAGAATCGAAAGGGTTAGGACAATTTTACGACAATTTAGAACACTCTGGTAGTCGATAAACTCGCGTTTGAACGGGATAAAGCCAAAAAAAGTGTTGTATGCGCTTCTATGCTAAAACGATGAGAATACGATGTCTCGGAGTGAAAATTTAATTGACCTAGAAATCACAGATGGCGCAGGGTGTCCCTTTGCAGTTAATTAGGGCCCCAGAAAGCATGAATCCAGAGGATTTCTGGAGTTTTACTTCGATTTCTTTATAATTATTGTTAAACGACAAGTGGAGTATACCATTTGGTACAATACCCAATGTAATTCGATACATCTGTCAATATAAAAACGAACGTCTGCAACGTAGGCATTTAGAAAAATCTTTTTTGTCGACGTCGACCAAGTTCCTCGACGTGTTTCACTTCACCTTAAAGCCTGTAATTATAAGAATTTTTGCCATATTGGGTACGTCGTGTGTCATCGCTGGTCCCTGGGGGACATATCCGGCGAATCGGTGGGGGTTCACAGTCCGTGACCAATGCTTCCTGTGTCCGGCAGCAGTCCACTATAATTCTACATGGGGGTTCACGTAACCTTCTTTTCTCCAAACCGTTCACTACTTTCCAATTTTCAGTTAATTTATTAGTAACTTACAATTGTAGCCTTACCAACAAAAAAATAAGGAATAATGATACGAGTAATAGCTTACATCCTCGTAAACCAATTCAAGGACCGATAGTACAAGGATTCTACAGGGTCTTTTAGAGGACCACTCTTCTTTCAGCATTCGTTCGGTACTTCTTTTCACTACTTTCAATGGATTAATAACTTTCGTTTGGTACTTCTTTTCACTACTTTAAACGGATTAATAAACGAAGTAGGAGGGCGTATATTGCGTGGGATTAATGTCTACGGAATGGCGAATTTGTGGGACGCTAGACTTTAGTAAGATAAGATTAAGAAAGAGGTAGATTAAACTTATTGCAAATTCGAAATCAGTTGCTATCAATGATTATCCGAGTTCCATTTTTTGCGCCGTATTGACTCAAATTTAAGCCTGTAACCTTTGATGATCCTTAGTCCCAGAAAGGTTCGATAAAAGGACTGATTACAAATTAAGAAACAGTACTGTCGAAAACCGCTGAGTTTTAATTCTTGCGTAAACAATTTTGACATCGGTGAGTCTGTCAGGGTGAAGGTCCGACCAAAAATCTAATAACATTTTTGAAATCTACGACCTTAAATTAAGCGGCATATCTTTCTCCGTTTTTCGATATCTGCCTACTAAGTGCTTCAAATTCCGTGACAAACATTTCGCTACGTATGCAGAATTAAACAAAAGAATGGACAGCAGCGCGGCAGGAAAGAGTGTCATACCGATTAACCATTAAACGTCATCATATCATAAATATGCACAAAAAATATAAATCTATCTCTTCAGAAAGCAGATTAACGTTCTCATTTTCTTTCCGACTACGACTCAATTGCAATTACCTACGCGAGAATACGGTAAAGTATCAGATTGCAGATGCAAAGTGCAGATTTATATGATCTCCATGTTTTGATATCTGTCCCCTGTGCTTTAAATTTTGCTACATATGCACAAATAAACAAAAGAATGGATAGCAGCGCGACATTAAAGAGTGTCATACCGATTAACCATTAAACGTCATCATATCATAAATATCTACAAAAAATATAAATTCATCTCTCCGAAAAACAGATTCACGTTCATTTCTTTCCGACTACGACCTAATTGCAGCTATCTACGCGAGAATACGGTATAGTGTCCGATTGCAGATGCAATGTGCAGATTTATGATACGATGACCCTGGACCAACATGACCCAGTTTCCATTTCAGTCAGTATTTTAATTTAGACATTAACGAGAAATAAAACGATTGTAGAGTATCTTACATCCTCTGGCGCCATGACGTAGCACTCGGCAATCTCCTGGTAGAGTTCCCTGACATTGGCGAACCCGGATATGAGGCCAGTGGGACTCCCGTGGGCCAGTTGGCAGCGGAAGACCAGCTGGGGCTTCGCGGGGCCACTCAGGGCGGTCCGTTCCTGGGAATGCTGCCTCTTCGTCCCGTTTCCTGTCCCGGTCCCGGTCCCGGTCCCGGGGACCCCGTCGTGGACCTCGTAGTGGGGCCCGTTACCGGCGCCTGCTTTCTCCGCCGAACTCTTCGGCGAGGATTTCGGCCTGAAGAGCGGCATCGCGCAGGTGCGCGTGACTCACGTGCTCTGTTACGACAGGTGCTCCAATTATTGCCACGAGTTGTTATCACGAGTCGTTACGTCGAGCGACCTATCGACAGGAGGAGGGAGAGGGAGATCTAGGATCCGAGCGAGATCGAACCATCTTGCGAAATTTCGTACATCTTCTAGGGTCGTTTTTCATTCAAGAAATCATGGATTTTAATCATGAAATAGGATGAGGAGACATAACGCAATTGGTCGGTTCCACAGAAAATGGCCCCAGAATTGGGATCCAGGATCTCAGAGTTTCGTTGATCTAACGATGTTCATCTTCGAGCGTCGGACGAATGGAGCAAAACTGAGGGGTTATTTATTCAAGACATCATGGATTTTAATCATGAAATAGCATAAGGATACATAACGGCAATGGTTGGTTCTACAAAAAGTGGTCCCAGAATTGGGACCCAGGATCTCAGAGTTTCGCTGATCTAATGATGTTCATCTTCGAGCGTCATACGAGTGGAACAAAACCGAGAGGTTATTCATTCAAGAAATCGTGAATTTTAATCATGAAGTAGGATAAGGAGACATAACGCCAATGGTTGGTTCCACAGAAAGTGGTCCCAGAATTGGGACCCAGGATCTAAGATTTTCACTGATCTAACGATGCTCATCTTCGAGCGGTGTATGAGTGGACTAAAATCGAGGGGTTATTCATTCAAGAAATCATGGATTTTAATCATGAAGTAGCATAAGAAGACATAATGCCACTGGTCGTGAAAGAGCATTTATAGTTGATCCTCTAGTTCATCGTGATAAATCGTTAATGGTACGTTAAAAAAATGCTGGAACTTTATTATCAGTGAAATGTTTGATCTTGAGGAATTATATTAGTCATATCTATATCAGAAACGTACTATAATTACGCGTGACGGGACATTTTTCGAAGAAAATGCGTTTCGAAGAATCGTGACTACAGTGAATATCAATCATTATGATATGGATCATTTGTTTCAATTAAGAGTTGTGGTACAAGTAAGCGTTTGATATTAAATGTAAAAATCTATAGGTTTTATAATGAAAGATAAAAGTAGTAATACCTGCAGTTAAAAACCCGTTGGTTCATGCAATGACCATACGAAGAAAATTAAACTCTAATTCTTATCTAAAAAACATGTTACTATTTTTGACGACTCATTTATTTCCAATCAATTAACTCCGACTTTTATCCCGAAATATAATTTTTAAACATAATATAATTTCATGTTATAATAAATAAGACAATTGGCTTGAACATAATCTGTTAAATGTAAATTTCCAACGCATGACTCCGCGCTTAGATAATTTTGCAGTTATTTCCATATGGTCTTTTTTACTTGATAACCTTCAGTTTATATTCCACAAGGCAATTACAAGTTGTAGATCAGTTCCAACGTATTACAAGCAAGATATCGTGTCAGTTCTTGTGATCAATAATTTTCTACTTAAGTCGACCCGATAATACGGAAGCATTGAAAGAGCTTATCATGGATCAACAATGGAATCCCGTAATCAGGCTGACTTAAACTATTAAATAAATACATTTTATACCAGGTCATCCTAGATGGATCAACCCACGAATTCTCGAATCAGGCTGATCTAATCAATGAAACATCAATAATTTATTGAATAACGATTCTTCATTGAAATATGTTTTTTGACATTTTTAAATGATCGATGTTTCTCTTATTTAAAGATATTAATGTCCCATTTTTCAAATTAATCATGTATTGCAGGCCATTCTCAACCGATTACAAGGTACCAAGGCTTTTCCTGTCGCTATCAATTTTCTATTAGATCACCCGATAACGAGAATGATGTAAAAACAAAAAAATTTCGTGATTGAATTTGTTTTCTTTGATTGAAACCAATGTCGAACTTGAAATCGATTTGCATTATCAAATAAGCATATCACAATATATTCAATCAAATGATCTAATACACACATTCTATTGAATTCTAGAAAATTCTAGAAAAACCAAACAATGGAATTTCTACATTTGACCAATTCGATTAATTAATTAAATATAAATAATATCCTAAGAGGCGATGCATTGATAAAATATTTTTTTCAGGAACTTTTGACTGATAATTTCAGTTCAATGATGGAAGTTTCTTACATAATAGATCGATTCTATATTACGGGTTTCATCAAGGGTCTACCTAGGACGTTTGAATAAGATAGGATTAAAAATGTCAAAATTTCAACGTAGAAGTGACGATTTTCCCCCACAAGCGATATTTACACAAGAGAAACGAATACTCCATAAATTTCAATTCTAGTCTATCCACACAGTGCACTTTAATCTATGTTGAATTCCCTAAAGATTATACTTCTACGTTGTTTAATCCCTTTTAATTCTAACAAAGCTTATCTGTATTAAAATGTTATGTATTCCGTCAAGAGGATTGTATTTCCAAGGGTTTTTCATTACTCCCAGTTTTTTTTTTTTAATATTGCGTATTAATTTCTCTCGAGTCATATATCCGGAATATAAATTTTCAACTTTACTTAAATAATCTCCATTAAATACGTCCGAAAGGTTGATAGGGATAGGATTTCCCTTTTACTCCGTAATCGCCACTCGGAGTAAGGGGCAAAGGAAAGAAATCAGGCATTCACTGGAATTAACACTAGAACTACCAAGACCAGTAAAAATGACTGGTTTAAAATGGCCCATTCTATACAAAAAAAATCCGCCGGTAGTTCTAGTGTTAAAATCGTTAACTTCGTTCTATTAGTCTTCTTAACGAAGAATAAGCGACATATCTAGCTCCTTTTGTCACTGACAAATTTTCCATCATCACCCTGACAACGCAGAAAACACGGAAAGATCTTGTCACGAATCACCGATCAGTCTCCGAACCGTAGAGATCTCTCCCGTGGAACCGATTTCCGTATCACCTCCCACTCGGATCTCTCGATCCGTAGGTTTGTTCGTTTCGCCTACACTTTCAACACTTTTACGAAAAGTGTACACTGTGGCGTTCGTTTTGACGGAAGTGACGCAGACGTCGCTGTTCGTTTTGCGAGGGCACACTTTTTCTACACTTTCTACCCTCGATCCCGAGCGAGTGCAAGAAGGGTAGCCCGCGAATTTGGCGGCAAATTTCAAAATTGAAAAGACCAACAAATAGGAAAATACAAAATGAATGCTAACATCTCAACGTAATATAAATAGAAGTAATTATTAATGCATCTTCTTTATGTATAGAACGATTTACCGTTTTAGTTTTGTACATAATGTTTGAAACAATTTACAATAATTATGTATTACTACCTAACCGCGGTTGGAATGATCTAAACCATAATTTTTCCCTGTTGTAGTTAAATTGTATTTCATTCTACTGCAATAATATTCTGACCCTTATTGATCCACGATACCAGAAATTCGTGAAGGAATTTTCATCTTCTACAATTACAAGGTAATAGAACGAATTGTAGGATTTGAAGAAAACGAAGATAGCCCAAGAAGGGAGGCTGGAGGAAGCATTACATTTTCGTATTCATCATCGTTCGATACGGATAACCTCAAAATCGCGTACCGATCTACTAAATCGGTCATCTTGGACTTTCGTGAGGTTGCAGGCCTCCGGGACGTCGACGAAAGTGTATCTACCCTTCTGCACTTTTCAAGATAAGTGTAGTACCCTCGTTACCCTCGAGTGTAGAAAGTGCAGTCAACGCGACGAAACCTCGTGCCTGATAGTAAATTCTCTTACCCGTTATCACGCCTCCAATCCAAAATTCATCCGTCAACCACCGGTTTAAAACCTATCAGGAGTTCTCACATAAATCGAGCTCCGGCGTACCTCCAGCACTCATTACACCGTCGAATGTGGTGACCGAGGTTCTTTTTTATCTCCCGTTATCCTCCTTATTGTTCCCGGATGTTATCAGGGCCGCGCGGCCGGCTTATCGAAGCGTGGAGTTATCGCGAAGCGGATCCGCGTCGCTCGAGTTTCGCCCCACCGTGGGACACATCCTTCTAGGAAGAATGCTTCCTTTATGGAGTATTTAGGGGGCTTTTTCGGGGAACTCCCTTTTTTTAAAGCGGACCAGGACGCATCTAGCCACCGCAAAGAGCCTCCGACCTGAAGGGAACTCGACTGCCGACTCGTTCCACGATTTGCCGAGCGCGATAGTTTGCCGTCGTGGCTCTCAGGAGTGTATCAAGGAACTGTGAGAGAGGTGCATCGGGCTAGTTACTTTGGCCCCTGAATATACGTTCTCCCTCCATGCGCTCGCTCCGTGCTATAAGATATTTCCCAGATACGGAAATATTGTAGGAGAGGGATATTTGTTGCACTCGCTGGAGGCAATTTCATCTAATACAATATGCATTCTCTATCTGACTTCGTGGTATAGGATATATATGACGCGTGGTCCATTCCAAGTTAATGAGAGTTTTAAGGTGATATGAAAGGGTCAATCTACATATCAAAACGTCAAATTATATATAAAACTTTTCTCCAAACGGGGTGCATCGAATTATTTGAAATTTTAACACGTGATTATGGAGGCTCCAAGGAAGAACGCGATGCTCGTGAAAGTTCATTTTTCACCAAAAAAATGTGATCTTAGTTGTAGTCTAGGCTAAATAAAACAAAATTAACGTCATATGAAAGGGTCAATCTATATATCAAAACTTCAAATTATATATAAAACTTTTCTCCAAACTGGGTGCACCGAATTATTTGAAATTTTAACACGTGATTATGAAGGCTCCAAGGAAGAACGCGATGCTCGTGAAAGTTCATTTTTCACAAAAATTGTGATCTTAGTTCTAGTCTAGGCTAAATAAAACAAAATTAAGGTGATATGAATGGGTCAATCTATATATCAAAACGTCAAAATATTTATATAATTTATATACCTACAAACCTATAATTTATTAAAACTTTCCTCTAAAGTGGGTGCACCGCATCATATGAAACTTTTACACAAGATCGCGATGGACGTGAAAGTTCATTTTTTTACAAAAAAATGTAATCTTGCTTTTAGTTTAGGATAAAGAACAAAATTTCTTTTTCGACAAATGACATTTCACGAGCATCGCGTTCTTCCTTAGGACCTTCATAATCACGCGACGAAGTTTTAATTGATTTGGTGCACCTAGTTTGGAAAACAATTTTATAAATATTTTAATGTTCTGATATATAAAATAACCCTTTCATATCACTTTAATTGAGAGACTAACGCAGTAGCATCAACGAAAACGTTTACGCTAATTGTACACACAAAGATGGTGCACAAGGTATACCTTCACATTATACAATTTGTGTATGATGCAGAATATTTATTGAATATTATTGTTAATTTAAATTATGTAGAATTTATCCTGAGTAGTCTAGAAATTGAATCAAATTGTGGAATGGAAAATATGAACAATTTCTACGTAAGTATTTAAGAAAAAGATATATTGTTAACATAAAGCACTAACAGTTTTCAGTTTTTGACATTGAAGTAAATCGGGTTGAGTTACAAAAATACTTACATGTTAACAAATGAATTTCTTCTCGTGATCACCTTGATATGCAAAGTGCAACTCGATATAGTTAACAAATTTTCTAACGTATTTTTACATTTACTTTGCGATTTTCAACTTGAACAGGAATATTATACCAGCGTGATGATAATATTCGACATATTGTAGAAAACGTCCTTCAAGAATGAAGCTTTATGTTAGAGTCATTGCACCTCCAAATATCGCATGTGCTTCATTTACAAAATTTGACTTCAACGAATCGAGGGACTAAATAGTCCGACTTAAGTGTTTCTCAGGCTGAATGATAAACACCTTTGATACTTTACCACAGTTTAATTTGTCCTCCGAGGACAAATAGTTCCTCATTGGCACTAATAAGTTTTCGAAAGGATCTGTATCCAATCGATATTCATTCATGGCTTGATATATTGCTTTGAATGGAGGCTGTTTCTGAGAATGAAACGTGCCTCTAGATCCATGGAGAACCAAAGCGCCATCCTTTTCCGCTTCTGTACAAACTGACATATACATACAATGATCGGGTCTATAATTATATCTGCAGGGATAGATGTAGAGCTTCTCAGGATGGTAGTGAAATATTATGTTAATGATATCCTGATCTCCCCACGTGATTTTCAGGCGATATTCCTTGTGAATAGGGACGACGTAATCCGTCCACCTGAATTCCCTCATTCTGGTTAGATTCATCAACATGACGCCTGAATTAACACCCAATTTGCCATAGTAGGGGTGCCTTGCAAATCGATTATACCACCCAGTATGAGGATCTTCGTGCTCTGGGCTCAAAGCTGCCAGTTGACTGGAGTTCATCTTTTTGAATTCATCCCAGATAATTTCTGGAGGAGCTAAGAATAAAGTATCGGTATCCATGTACAAAACTGAATCCGTATCGTTTAATACAGTCTGAAATAAAAAACATTCTTCTTTACAAGTAAACGGATAATGATTAGTAATCCCAGCTAATTCTATGCCACTTACTGGCAGAAATAATCTCTGTGCAGCACAAGGCTTAAATAATTTTCTCCACATCGCAGCATTGTTTCGATCAGGGAACATCACAGGCTTCACGGTAAAACTGAATGTCTTATTCGTCACCTGCTTCCATTCTGACAATTGTTTTACAAATACTGGTATTAAATTGTCATCGGCAATTATAATGAAACGCAGCTCTCTTCGTGCGAAGACCAGCGCAGACTTAAGCATTGTCAGCGATTCCTCTAATCTGTCACCACAGGCTACTACACATATTACCACCTCCGGGTCCTTGGTCAACCTGGAGAGAATCCTTCCTGACGTCGGATACAAATCTGCTGACTTACTCCGCACATCGTAAACTTTATTTGGCAAGTTTGTTGTAAAATTCAGGAGTAATACTAGGCCAGCGAATCCGACGCATAAGAAAATAAATCTGTACACATATTTCATCGCGGTACTTTGCACAATCCCATGATCTCTGCTGGGTTTCTCTTATGCGTGTAACTAAAATATCAAAAAATGAGATTCAACATATCATTCTGCATAGCTCTGGTATTGTTAACATTGTAAACATCTTAAATGAGTTGGTTTATCACATATTTTTAATAATTCCTAACCTTACGTGTCATACTTGCAATAGAGTATTTAATTACAAAGTAAAATACCGTGACTAGAAAAGTGTTAGATAGGTTAACCAACTGCTCAGAGAAGGTGTTGTAAAGTGACAATGTAGTGCTGCCACCACGTGCCGCTTTTGGGTGGCTGAAACGGAAAGGGCCACTTTAACCGATACAGCGGCAAGAGACATAGCGAGTAAGTGTAAATAAGAGCTTCTGATTGGTTGCAAATATTGCGGGTATACCGTCCTCATCGGTGGCAGCGGCGCAAAATGTGAAATGTTGCAAGCGACAAAATCCTTTTCCCAGAGAAACGGAACATTCAGAAGCACACAAAATTAAACGAAAGTAATAAAATTTTATTCTGAAATGTTCTTTAATTTCTTAGCAGGTCAAATATTCCATTATGTCATTAAAAATATAAAAGTTACCTCAACTTAAACAAAAATGAGAGTATCAATTCTTAATGAGTAAAATACCTCGAGATATTTTTTATTGGATATATTTTCGAATGTAGAAACTAAACCATATACTTTTGTCTTATATATTTATATTCTATATCGTCTTTGTATTTCTCGAATGAATAAATACACGTACACAATTAAATAGATAGATAAATAAGTATCAATATTTGTAATACATTATTAATTAGATATGTACATAAATAACTACGAAAATTATTCAATGACTTGCACGTTCCACCATATTTTAATGGCGGGTTAATTTTCCTTAACTACCGGTGAAATTAATCAGCTCATTTCGATCGTTTAATTTCGGTTAATCGAACTTTTACCTAGAAACTACACAAACGTGAGAAAAACATGGATTAGATTGAGGATGTATTAACATCTCCTTAGGACGAAACGGATGAAGTCGTTTTCGAATTTATTTACAATTCCTTAATGATCCAAGTATGATTGAAAATATTTTATATTAATCCTTAACCAAAGAACTATATTTCTTGAGGCCAGCATTTGTTAAATAACTTCGTGCATGAAACTAGAGGGACTTTGGGTCTCGAAAAGGGCGCATCTATATTGCTATCTAGTAGAACAGAGTGTCAGCCAATCACGCGAACGTGTTCACCGACAATTCAACTTTGAATGATATATACGATTAATTAATCGCGCTCTAAATACATGTGGGCGACATTTACGTATTTAACCCATGGTTAACTTATACGTTAACTTTAACCTACGGTTAGGTAATCAACGATTTAACCGAGGTCGGTGGAACCGGGCATTATAGCATCGAGCGCTAATAGAGGATCTGGAACTTTTTCGAACTTCTAAATTCTTTGTGTGGACCATGGACGAGATGGTGTGGACCAATGCGTGCGCTGCCCTTTGTAGTTCAGTGTGCGATAGTGAGACGTTCGGTGACGCAGATAAATATTACCGGTCCTCAGGGTGAGTTGCGCCGTAACCGTGAATGCCCAAAAGAGTCCAACTGAATACGATTTTGCGTTTCGACTGAATACGATTTTAAACGATTACATACCCTACAAATGACAAGAATTACTTCCAGTTGAAACAAGTGAATACGTGCACAGACAGGTCTTTTTCCCGCACCCTCGATTTTGCAGTCTACGGCGAGAGTTCGTAAGTGACCGTTACGTTTTTGTTTGAAAAGTCGCGGATATAAGGGGGAATTCTCGTGTAAGATCCTGTGACCACGACGCTTGAGTAAATGAAAATGCCGTCCCATTTTTTTGTACCAGATGTAAACTTCATATCATGTATCCAATACCATACCGTGTATCTCGTTACATCTAACTTCACTTCCTATACTTGGCGATCTCGGTCCGAGATCTTGGATGAAGATGCATCTCGTTTCATTTTTTTATACTACGTTCAAACTTCATGTCGTCGTATCCATACCGAACAGCGTAGCGCGTCACGGTTAACTTCATTTCATACACTTGACGATCTCTTTCGAGACAGTTCGAGATCTCGGGCCGAGTTCTATCCAGGGTTACGCAACAACGCGTTATTCGAGGTTTTTTACGTAAAATACCTAATAAATTACCCGACAAAGATGGCGGTACTGTAATCTCACTTTTTCAATGTACTCAAAGTATTCATCATTTATGAATAAACATTTTAGTCAAAAAAAAAGAATAATGGGAAGTAGGCGCGAACCGTTAAAACAATCTAGGCTTCGACATTCCATGGAAAATTTTGAATTTGAAGCGTATCAGGAATTGGAACTGAAGAAACAAAGTCCCTTATTCATGTAATTTACATCACGTATGGAATTTGTCAAGTAAAATACCTGGAAATTTATTTTGAAATACTACACAAATTACGTAGGGTATTTTACCTACCCAACCCCTTCCCCCTTGTTCGAGCCTTAGATCATAGATATCTAGATCTCGCATTGCAGTGGACGGGGGAAAACTCGAATGCACCATGGAAGCCGACCGATTGACCTAGGATCAGGGTTGGGTAATTTCACGATTTTTGACGTTTTTGACGGATATTACGTAAATCAAGTTTACCGGAGAAAACGTAGAAAACCAGGAGAATACGTATCAAATATGGGGGAGAAGACAGACGTAGGGCATACGGTATCCGCTAGGTTATGAACATCCATCTTGTCCATTTGTTTCATCCCATAATTTGCTTTTTGGTCTTCCACCTTTTTGCATTTCGATACAAATATTGGTTACGAATCTTACGACTTCAAATAGCCGTTATCAGTCATTATGAACAAACGTCAAATACACGTATATGCATACATTTGAAATTTCCAAGGCTGATTTCGAATGTGTGCGGATTTGGGGATGCGTAAAGCGCAATCCCCTTAATACCCAATAAGAATCTCTCTTAGGGGTAAATACGTGGACTCTCATTGGCTATTGACGATATTGCGCATGCGCTTTACGCGTTTAGTTTGGGGGTAATATACTTCGTGCCTGCGTAGACAACTAGAAATGTATTATACGTTGTAATATACGTGTAAAAAACCAGGTATACTATTTGACGTATTATACTTACCCAATCCTTCCTAGGGTGCATTGTGTACGTGTAACACAGTTTGCACACGAGCCGGCATCGGTTATTTTCGGTGGTGATAACGTAAATAAATGAAAGATACATTGTTTTTGACAGAAAAGTCGGTTTTGCCGATATGTGGGCAAACGACCTAAAGATCGGATTCAATCAGATTTTACCATGTATATATGTAGACTTCGATTTGCAATGAAAGGGGTAAACGAATGTACCACGTGACCCGACTACTCACTCACACAGTTAAAGCCATTCTGCTTATTGAAAATTTGGGAGTGGGAGGTCCAATGCGAGGTCTAGATACACATGGTGTAAGGTTCTAGCATCGTGGACATGGTAAAAAAGTAACCATTTTCATGAATTTTTCCTAAAATTCGCTCTTTCCTGCGGATCGGCAGGCCTGTCAGCAGTACAGCGTTCTGACGACTAATATTATCACACTATACGATTGTACTGTAAAATGACCTCATCATAATTTACTTATCCCGTATCGATCAACCAACATATATCATATTTTTCCAATCCGATCACTGGTATACAATTTATGCAATAGTAACGGTATGATTGGTGGTTTCGACGAATTGAGCACCATTAGTTCGCTTCCCGCTACTTCCGGTCTGAATCTGGAGACCTTGCCATTCTTGGTGGTCATTTGTACAAATCCATCACAGTTTTGTATATTCTTACATCGATTCCATTATTTTTTAATATGCACATCAGTTATAACAATGTGTAATAATCATCGGGTCGATGGTTCATTATAATGAGCAGACAAAGACTCGTGCACATTATGCCCGGGCGGACGCATCGTATCGTCGACGCATTTGTATCGTATTGCGTTACAAACTTCCACACGGAATTGATTTTAAACATTAGATATGGACTATCGCATATTTTGACGGGGCTCAGAGGGGCACATCGACGGATCGTCTGCTAGACGAATTTTTTGGGGGGACCCGCTGCGACCCGTTTCGTTCTGTCAGTGTCGACGGATCTGCGCAATAGCGGACGGAACGCGAACATTTGTTGCACGGAGCCGTGGAGTCTTGAACTCGCAGGTAACTATTATTGACCGTATTGGTATAAAGGCGATTTGAAAATTAGCTTGTAACATAACGCCACTTATATTTTAAAAAAGATTTAAAATTCTCCAAGTAACTTTCTTTTCAAGTAAATATTGTGACACCGTATACTACGTTTTCTTTTTCATTTCTCTTTTTTTTTTTCATTTTTCAATCGAAACGAAATTTTAAATAAATCAAGTTCTTCGTCAGAATTATCCATTTTCGAAAACGTACGGACGTAAACAGGGTCAATTTACGACGGAAACGATAATTTGATGTTTTAATGCGACGCGTCTTTAATGTGCGCCCTGAATTTTTGCAATACGATACGCAGCGGCCCGCTCCGGCTATAATGTGCAAAATGGCATAAAACGGTACTTAGGATTAAAAATGAAAATGGTTAATAAGAATATTAACACATTTTGTGCCACGTGGTCGTCGACGACTCACGGTAGGTTAAGGTGAAGTGAAACACGTCGAAAAATTTGATCGACGTCGGTGAAAAAGTTTCTTCTAAATACCTACTTTTTACTGACGTTCGTCGTGCTTATATCGACAACTGTGTCGAATAACATTGAGTATTGTACTAAATGGCATTTTCTAAATCTAGTTTTCGTATATTAATTTATAAAGATCGAAGTGAAACTCCAGAAATTCCCCGGATTCATGGTTATCGAGGCCCAAATTGACTCCAGAATGTCACCGTGTGCTATTTGTGATTTCAGTGCCAACTATATTTTCTCTCCGAGACCTCGTGTTACCATTGTTTAAGCACAGAAGCACACGGAACACTTTTTTGCTTTTATTCCATTCAAATGCGAGTTTCTTGATTACTACAGTGTCCTAAATTGTACAATTGTCCCGACACTTTCGTATCTCATATTGGAGCCTTCAATAGCCGTGTACTGATCGAAATATGTGAGTTCGACGCCATTTTAGTTCTGGTCTAGGCTGGGTTAAAC